ATGAAGCTGCTATTTCTGTTTAAAAGAGAAAATGTTATGTATGTTATCAGTTTTTTTTATTGTGTTGTAGTGTTTTCTCATCATTAGTTCATAGCTGTATTTTGACTGATTCATGTATGTTTGAATAATCTTTATTGTCCGGCATTCCAGGTTTGAGTGCTATGGAAATTTCTGTTTTCATCTACAGTGTTCCCACCAGTGTTGCCATAGTTACTTTGAAATAGTAATCTGACTACTGACTACTGATTATTTCTTTAAAAAGTGACTTAGTTAAGTTACTGACTACTTGCTTTTAAAAGTAACTAAGTTAGATTACAAGTTACTTTGTTAGTTACTTTCAGCAGCGGCTAATCCTCCACCCCCATAACATAAAAATATACTACCAGTTTTGCCAATACTCACTTTATTGACATGGATTTTAACTGGAACATCAAAAATGACACTGACATTTGAAAACTATTTCCTGAAAGAAAACAGGCCTACATGTTTTTATAAAAAAAAATAAAGAGAGTCTTTCTTTCTTCGCACCGGGTGGGACCTGCTCTGTTAATGTTGTTGTGCCATGCTGTGTCTCTAGTGTTTCTTTAGGTTTGATGTTGTATTCTTGAAGACAGACAACACTTTGTCGCCAGCACAGAGTGTACAACAAATCTTTATATCGCCATCCTTAGCTGAAATGAAATCAAAATAATATTTGTATTTCCAGCTGCAAAAGGCGTACCTCTCTCCCTCCACTGTTTACATCTGACTCGTGGTGGAGCGGAGATGACGTAACATGATAAGAAATGTACAATTTATACAATCTTTGGGGTCACATAACCCACGTCGCCAAAAAAACCCCCCAAAAAAAACAACCTATGTTGCCCTGGAACGCAAAAATAAACGCACCGTGTATTAGATAAGCAACTTAAATCTGACTACTGGTTTGGAAATAGCACTGCGTTAGACCACTCGTTACTGAAAAAGAAGCTGGACTCCAGTAACGCGTTACTAAGTAGTAGTAGTAAATTTCATAACATTTCCATGACTTTTTCATGACCAAAAGTGAATTTTCCATGACTTTACGGCTCCTACATGTGCAGAATTGATAAGACTTTTAGGGCTAAATATGAAATGTCAACCCTTTCCACTCACCTTTTGGTTTGGGATTATAGTTTTTTAAAATTCAAAATACTGTCAGTGCATTTATTGTCGTCTCTTTTAAACAAAAGGTGCAGACGTTCAGAAATAATCATAATAGCCTAATGAGAACTAAACAGAACGCTGTAGTTGTGTGAAAGAGATGCTAAAATTCCATGACTTTTCTAAAACTTTCATTGACTTTAAATTCCATTTTCCAATTTCCATGACTTTTCAAGGATTACCATGACCATTGAAACCCTGCATCTACCACTTATCTCCGCCTATTGCTCTGTATTTACATGGAATTACTGAAGCGTTCAACACTGTCACCTAACCATTTGTCAACAACGAAAACATAAACAAGAATATTTGATTTCTCTTTTCTAATGTGAAATTTCATTCTGAAGAAGTTGGGGCTTCTGCAGTTTTGAAGTCAAGGGACGTGTTTCTTCTAGTCTTATCATGATACGTGGCAAAGGAGAAAAATCAGTTTGAATTTTCTGATTTTTCTCCTTTGCCAATGGATTCTGCCTGGACGACTGAGGGATTTTTCACAAAAATTTCAAACTCAAATTTGATATTAATGAATAGACTCAATACACAAGACCATGAAAAAATTCTTTCTGAATGTTATTTTCAACATTAAATCGTAGTATTTTCTTTTCTATTCCCATGTGGTTTTATCTCTGTGTAATCCCTCAGTGGTTCATGGGCATATACTCGTCTTTGTGCTCTTATACTTGTTCAAATACAGCTCAAATTCACTCTAAATCTATTCAGGAAAGGTTCATTTCTGTCCTGTGAATGTGACTTTTTTAGTACTGATACCAGCTCAAATGAGTTTTAGACCAATATTGTGGACTGTACTGAAAAAAATATAGTATGGACAGCGTGTTTTCTTCAACTGAGATATTGCATAAATAAAATATGTAGTGTGATTGCACATGTCAGCTGTTTTTCAGTCATGAATTTTTATTTCTCTAGAGCAGGGGTCTCCAGTCTGTTTCCTCCGGTGAGCTACTTTTACAAAACAAAAATGCCAGAGAGCTATGAGTTTTAGGGGTCACAAGAAATTGAGCATATGTAGGTGCCACGGCGAGCCTTAGATGAGGTACAGTTAGATGCCTATTAAACATAAACCATTATCTATTTTTAGTGTACAAAGTTAGGCATCAAAATGACTCACGTACAAAAGCTAAAGGCATTTAATTAATCAAATTTCTCTCGAGCTACAGGTTGGAGACACCTACTCTAGTGAAGTCTCTGCTCGGCTGCACCACTGTCCTCTGTACTTAAAGCTGGGCTACTCAACTTTATTCTTATACATTTAGTTGTTTTCACAGTTTATTTTAATAGATAATTTAAAGGGACAGTCTGGAATTTTGGACATAGGGCCTCATTTCCTAGTGATCCAGAGTGTTGGAGACGTGTGGAGACACTTTTTTAAATATTACATCCAGTCCTTGTATTTGCAGAGGTCGCTGGTGCTAGGCTAGTGCATGTCAATGGCCATAGTTATCCTGCCACTAAAAACAGTCTTACCCACTCCACAAAACACCCGAAACAAATCTATTATTACACCAGACTGTCCATGTAAATGTCTGTGTTTATAGAATAATGTTTGAAATAAAACTAACCTTGCATCACATGAATCGTCGCATGTTGAGGGACTATTTTCTCAGCAGCAGCGGAATCTTACTTTGCCAGTAAGACAGGTGCTAGGTGATATCAGTTCGCCGCTGCCGAGCTTTCTATCAGGAAGTACAACTCGCTGCTAGACAGGCTGGCGCCACCTAGTGCCTCCGCTCAATTTCATTTCTCTTCAGCGACTAGGTCACTAATTAGAATACACTCGACGGTTTGCAAGAACCCCGAAAGTGCGAGTCCTGGCACCAGCCAATCAGTGAAGAGTCATACATTCTCTGTTGACAACGATTCCTGAGATCGAGGATTTAAAGCCGGAACAAAGAGAATGTTTGGTGAATTTTATCAGGGGGAAAGACGTTATTGCCCTTCTTCCTACGGAATTTGAGAAAAGCTTAATATACCAGTTATTACATACATCATATGCATTACATACGTCACAATCAAACAGCCGCGATTAGTTAAATGTAAAAAAAGTGCCCGCCTATTGTTGAGCGAACGAATCCTAATGCTGCAAGGTCAGACGGTTTCTACGAAGTGAAACCGGCTGATGAATCATTTTACAACACGCTGATGCTGCTCAGACATAAATCCTTCAAATGCAAGGTTGGTTTTACTTCTAAAATTATTCTATCAACACAGACATTCACACCGACAGTCTGATGTAATAACAGATTTGCTTCGGGTGTTTTGTGGAGTGGGTAAGACTGTTTTTAGTGGCAGGATAACTATGGCCATTGACATGCACTAGCCTAGCACCAGCGACCTCTGCAAATACAAGGACTGGATGGACTATTTAAAAAAGTGTCTCCACACGTCTCCAACACTCTGACTCACTAGGAAATGAGGTCCTATGTCCAAAATTCCGGACTGTCCCTTTAAAGCCGAGTCATTACCTTCTATAACTAAATGAAATATCAGATAAAACATTATAATATCATAGTTTTAGACCTAAAACATGCACATATATCGCACATAGATGATATTATATTAGTTATATCGAGCTCTGGATACCACTTGGGATTTAAATGCAGAGAGTAAAGAGTCTAATGAATTCACAACTCCGTCTCTGGGTCTGTGTCTGCAGGGCCAAGCAGATTCTCCGGGGAAAGAAGCAGTGGACCTTACAACAAAACCATCCTCCTACTTTATATAAGAGACAGCTGAAAAATAAACTTTAGTTAAGTCAGTCCTGTATTTTTTATTCCTGTTTTAGTCCTGGAACAATCCTGATATAGTCCTAGTTTAGTTCGTATTCCAATGTAGTAAGTGTTTGGTTAAACCTTTTTGCAATTTTAGTCCTGGTTTAGTCCTGGTTTACTCCTTGTATAGTCCTGGTATAGTCCCTTTTTTATTCTTGGTTTCATCCTAGGTTAGTCCTGATATAATCCTGGTTTAGACCTCGTATAGTCCCAGTTTAGTCCTGGTATAGTCCTGGTTTAGTCCTGGTAAAGTCCCAGTTTAGTCCTGGTATGGTCCTGGTAAAGTCCTGGTTTAGTCCTGATATAGTCCTAATTTAGTCCCTATTCCTAAATAGTTTGGTTAAACCTTTTTGTAGGTTTAATCCTGGTTGAGTCCTGGTGTAGTCCTGGTATAGTCCTAGTTTAGTCCTGGTATAGTACTGCTATAGTCCTGGTTCAGTCCTGGTATAATCCTGGAACAGTCCTGATATAGTCCTAGTTTATTTCCTATTCCTAAATAGATTGGTTAAACTTTTTTGTAGGTTCAATCCTGGTTTAGTCCTGGTATAGGCTCAGTTTAGTCCTGGTATAGTCCAGGTTTTGTACTGGTATAGTCCCGGTTTAGTCCTGGTATAGTCCTGGTTTAGTCCAGGTATAGACCTGGGATAGTTCTGGTTTAGTCCTAGATTAGTTGCTGCTCTTGAATAGTTTGGTTAATTTAATCTTGGTTTAGTCCTGGTTTAGTCCTGCTATAGTACTGCTTTAGTTCTGGTCTAGTCCTAGTTTAGTCCTGGTATAGTCCTTGATTAGCTCCTGCTCTTGAATAGTTTGGTTAACTTAATCTTGGTTTAGTCCTGGTCTAGTCCTAGTTTAGTCCTGGTATAGTCCTAGATTAGTTCCTGCTCCTGAATAGTTTGGTTAATTTAATCTTGATTTAGTCCTGGTTTAGTCCTGGTCTAGCCCTGCTCTAGTCCTTGCTTAGTCCTGGTTTAACCCTCCTCTCAGCATGACCACCCTCCCAAACAGCACCAATATTATGAAATCCAGACTCACCCCGAGTTTGCGACTGCGCATGCGGACGTATCCTTGCTTTACGATGTCGTTGAAGTTGGAAGCCATGTTCTGCGGAGGGCAACCTGCTCACCGTCACCGTGGAGACCATCCAGATCTTCTACGGGTCACGTCTTATAGATTTTCCTTTTCGAAACCTTCCTTTTTGTGAATTTCCTCCTTCATATCATGGTTTTAGTCTTAAATTCCCGCTCAGATTCGTGGTTTGAAGCTCCTTTTGTGTCGATTTGTGGACGGGGTTCAGTCGGTGTCAGTGTCGGGGGCAGATGTCTTCAGTCTTGGCATCTCTAAGAAACAGACAAAGAGACTGAGAGTGCGGTGCATTGGACATATGTATATATAATTCATAGCAGAGTCAGGAGCACAACATTATCCTGTATTATTCATGCAGACTGGCACACGTTCGCAAAGAGAAGTCCAACGCGACCTGCACCGGCTCAAAGGCTCGGTCAGAGTACATTTTTTGGACAGGCTTTAAATTTGGAGTTAAAATTTGTATTATTATGTAGTTTCAACCGAAAAATATACATATAGGAATACTTTCAGTCCTGGTTTAGTCCTGGTATAGTCCTAGATTAGTTTTACATTAGTCCTGGTATAGTCCTAGTTTAGTCCTGGTATAGTCCTGGTATAGTCCTAGTTTAGTCCTGGTATAGTTCTGGTTTAGTCCTGGTAGAGTTCTGGTTTAGTCCTGGTATAGTTCTGGTTTAGTCCTGGTATAGTTCTGGTATAGTTCTGGTTTAGTCCTGGTATAGTTCTGGTATAGTTCTGGTTTAGTCCTGGTATAGTTCTGGTATAGTCCTGTTTTAGTCCTGGTATAGTTCTGGTTTAGTCCTGGTAGAGTTCTGGTTTAGTCCTGGTATAGTTCTGGTTTAGTCCTGGTATAGTTCTGGTTTAGTCCTGGTATAGTTCTGGTTTAGTCCTGGTATAGTTCTGGTTTAGTCCTGGTGGTATAGTTCTGGTTCTGGTATAGTTCTGGTTTAGTCCTGGTATAGTTCTGGTTTAGTCCTGGTAGAGTTCTGGTTTAGTCCTGGTAGAGTTCTGGTTTAGTCCTGGTATAGTTCTGGTTTAGTCCTGGTATAGTTCTGGTTTAGTCCTGGTATAGTTCTGGTTTAGTCCTGGTAGAGTTCTGGTTTAGTCCTGGTAGAGTTCTGGTTTAGTCCTGGTATAGTTCTGGTTTAGTCCTGGATATAGTTCTGGTATAGTCCTGGTATAGTTCTGGTTTAGTCCTGATATAGTTCTGGTATAGTCCTGGTAGAGTTCTGGTTTAGTCCTGGTAGAGTTCTGGTATAGTCCTGGTATAGTTCTGGTTTAGTCCTGGTAGAGTTCTGGTTTAGTCCTGGTATAGTTCTGGTTTAGTCCTGGTATAGTTCTGGTTTAGTCCTGATATAGTTCTGGTATAGTCCTGGTATAGTTCTGGTATAGTCCTGATATAGTTCTGGTATAGTCCTGATATAGTTCTGGTATAGTCCTGGTATAGTTCTGGTTTAGTCCTGGTATAGTGCTAGTGTAGTCCTATAGTCCTGCAACAGTCCAGATATAATCCTAGTTTAGTTCCTGTTTTTTTTAAATAGTTTGGTTAAACCTTTTTATTGGTTTGATCCTGGCTCAGTCCTGGTATAGTCCTAGTATTGTCCTTTTTTAGTCCTGGTATAGTCCTAGTTTAATCCTGGTATAGTCCTGGAACAGTCCTGATATAATCCTAGTTTAGACCTAGTTTAGTCCCGGTATAGTTCTGGAAGAGGCCTGGTTTAGTCCTGGTATAGTCCTAGAACAGGCCTGATATAATCCTAGTTTGGTTCCTGTTTTTTAAATAGCTTGGTTAAACCTTTTTGTTAGTTTAACCCTGGTTTAGTCCTGATATAGTCATGATATAGTCCTGGTTCAACATGAGGAAAAAATATTCAAGGATTAATTCTTTTTCCCATATTTCCTGGTCCTGTTCTCCAGCTGAGTATTAAGATTTTGGATCATGAAGTAAATTCTTTGTCTTCCTGATTTCACAGATGATCAAATACAAAAGGGGTGTCCGTAAATGCAGAGACCGTTTCATTTGGTTTGCGTCATTCGTGCCCCGAGCCCGAGGTCGGGACCGGCTCCTCTCACGTCACATTTACATTTCAAACAGACCAGTGTCTCTGTGAAAGCTACAAGGCGGGACCAGGTTTCACTGTTTCAAGTCTAATGTGTCCAATGTGATCAGGTTCGTCCTGGTCTGGCTTAGGCTTGGTCCTGGTTTAGTCCTGTTTTGGTCCTAGTTTGGTCCTGATTTGGCCCTGGTGGGGTCATGGTTTTGTCCTGGTTTGGGTTTGGTTTGGTCATGGTTTGTCCTGGTTTAGTCCTGGTTTAGTCCTGGTTTGCCCCTGGTGTGGTGTGGTACGGGTTTAGTCTGGATTGGTCCTGGTTTGGTCCTGGTTTGGTCATGGCCTGGTCTGGATTGGTCCTGGTTTGGTCATGGTTTGGTCCTTGCTTGGTCCTAGTTTGGTCCTGGTTTGGTCCTGGTGGGGTCATGGTTTTGTCTTGGTTTGGTTTGGTCTTGGTTTAGTCCTGGTTTAGTCCTGTTTGGTCCTGGTTTGGTTTTGGGTTAGTCCTGGTATAGTCCTGGTTTAGTCCTTGTTTAGACCTGATTTAGTCCTGCTGTAGTCCCAGTTTAGTCCTTGTTTAGACCTGGTTTACCCCTGGTTTAGTCCTGGTTTAGACCTGGTTTACCCCTGGTTTAGTCCTGGTATAGTCCTGCTTTAGACCTGGTTTAGTCCTGGTTTAGTCTTGTTGTGGTCCTGGTTTAGTCCTGGTTTAGTCTTGGTATCGTCCTGACCCACCCGTGTGTAATCACTACCCACCTATAAAATTCCAAAACATTAAAACCCGCCTGTTTCAGCAACTACCCGCCGGTACCTGACCCGGTGCAGGACTTTCGGCACATCAGCTCCAAAAACTCCATATATCTCACTTTTACACGCAAACGCCACACTGTAGTTTTCCAGAATCTCAACTCTAGCCAGAGTTTTTTGAAAGATTCAAAGTTAAAAGAAAAGTAAAAGAAGGAAAATGTCTCTGTTTTTAAAAATACCCATGTATGTGTAAACTACGGAAGCCGAGAGGGGTCACAACAAACGCAAACACCGCAACAAACACAAATGCGACAACACAACAAAAAGCCACAACACACCAAAAAAAGCCACAACGGAAGTGACCGCGGGACTCTACTGTATTTTCCGACAGACCGATCAAGCGGCAAGTGAAGAAGAAGAACTACAACGTGAAAAGTAAAGGAACGGAGAAGTTGGAAACGTAAGTAAAAGTAATTTATTGTTTTATCATTATTCGTTTCACGTTGTAGTTCTTCTTCTTCACTTGCCGCTTCATCGGTCTGTCGGAAAATAGAGTCCCGCGGTCACTTCCGTTGTGGCTTTTTGATGTGTTGTGGCTTTTTAATGTGTTGCAGCATTTGCGTTTGTGTTGTGGCGTTTGTATTTGTTGCGGCGTTTGCATTAAATTAGAGTCCCGTGGTCCTCTTTCCGTTGTGGCTTTTTGTTGTGTTGTCGCATTTGTATTTGTTGCAGCGTTTGCATTAAAATAGAGTCCTGTGGTACTCTTTCCGTTGTGGCTTTTTTTGGTGTATTGTGGCTTTTTGTTGTGTTGTCGCATGTGGGGAAGCTGGCCCAAGTGGTCAAAATGAGAGTCCAGTGCAAAGTTGTCCTTCACCAAACCAAATTCTTTATTGGATCCTTCCAAGTCGTGGGCAAAATTATATACATATTTACAAAAAAAAGGAACTGTGCTTAACTAAATAAAAGCAACAGAAAATAATGCAACAAAAGAAAATACCCACAGGCACCTGGCTGCACTGATGGTGACCTCCCTACTGATTAAACTGCCTCTACTTATATACCCCCCAGAGAGGAAGTCCCTCCCCCTGGGTTCACACCAACTTACGGGGAAAACTGTAGCAATTTCCTTTCCTTACTGGTGTGCTGCCTTAAATTATTTTCTGAAGCCTAATCCCCCTTTTAAACTGAACAGTGCTCCAACTTAACTAGATAACACTGAAACCAAAATTCTAATAACCCATTTGATAAAACAAAGAACCATTTCCGAGGCTTCCCTCCACATGGTCTGGGCCAACACCTCCCCCTGAGCCTATAAATATGGCTGCCAAAGGACACGCCCCCCCTTTTGTTCCCAGACCATGTGGAGTCACAGGTAAAGGTGGTAAGTTTAAACAAAAATGAAGGGATATAACCAAATAAAATGAATTTAAAGTAACTGTGTGAATGTGATCAATTAAACAAAGACTAAATAAAACAAACCCGGGATAGTTATTATTTAGCTGTTTAGTTGATATAGATAGATGTAACTGAACTAAGGTGAAAAATGGGGACAAAGGCCCTCTTTGTCACATCGCATTTGTATTTGTTGCGGCGTTTGTGTTTGTTGTGACCCCTCTCGGCTTCCGTAGTAAACAGGCTCTGTACAAGTACACACAAGAGAAATCAGATCGGGAATTTGCTTTTTGCATTTTTTGACCCGTCCTTCAGTCCTGTCAGGGGGCAAAACCTGGGGACCCATCTCCAGAATTTTAAATCGATTTTGTGGATTAGCAGGAGGATTAGAAGATATTTTAGGAAACTTATATAAGAAAAATGGAAAAGGAGCACAGCTAGAAAGTTAGAACTGTCTAAATATATGGATCACAGCTTGTTATTCTCCACCAATAGCAAATTACTGTCAGAGTAGCAATTCAAACCACAGGCCTGCAAGACGAACAAAGGCTATAAGCAGTAAGACAATGCACATAAAACAAGAGGGAACAGCCGTAGTCAAGTATAATGAGATAATAAAACTGATATACAACTCATTTGCATGCCCATATTCTGTGCCTGCGTTTTGAGTTGTGTGGTACAGTAGTAGTAGTAGTAGTAGTAGTAGTAGTAGTAGTAGTAGTAGTAGTTGTAGGGCAGTGGGGCAGAGAGGTCCCAAAAGACTCTGGGGGAATCTGCCCGGCAACAGCAGCACACGGGGAAATTAAAGTTTAATTTCACTGGTTGATTAAAACATGAGTTGAAAAAGAGGGGACTACGTGGATAAAATTAAATTAAACAAAATAAAATTGAACAGAATACTGACTTAAAATTACACAAAATACACTAGAAAATACTAAAAATATCAAAGTGAAATTATGAATAATGATGATAAATAGACAGTCAAAAATGTGGACTATTGAATACCGTGAACGTAAAAGTGAGTGAAGTGTCTTGCCTAAGGAGACAACAACAGAAATTGGTCA